CCCCAACCCCCCTGATGGGCCCTGCTCTGTGCGTGACAGGGGGCAGCGCCCCAACCCCCTGATCGGCCCTTCTCTGTGTGTGACAGGGGGTGGTGCGGCAACCTCCCCATCGACCCTGCCTTGAGTGTGACAGGGGGCGGCGTCCCAACCCCCCAATTGGCCCTGCTCTGAGCCTGACCAGGGGCTGCACCTAGGGATTGGGCCTGCCCTCTGCCACCCGGAAGCGGGCCTAAGCCAGCATGCCGTTATCTCCCGAGGGGTCCCAGACTGTGAGAGGGCACAAGTGAGGCTGAGGGACACCCCGCCCCGCCAGTGCACAAATTTTTGTGCACCGGGCCTTTAGTAATATAATAAAAAGTATAGACAATAGAACTAGGACAGTGAAAAGCATTAGGGTTGGATATTTAAGGCTGTTAATTACATATACTCTTCAAACATTTTAAGCCAGAGACTATATATCTCATTACTTTCAACTGAGAAAATGACATTAGAGGGGTGAAAAGTCATTCTCTCCTTTACTTTACTTCTACAAATAACAGGGTAGGGTGAAGAGGGAGAGTTCTCATGTAGGAATACATATAAACAAAACCTCAAAATGAGAAAATGTACACTCCCAATTTCTTCTTCTTCTTTTTACATCATTGTAAATGATACAGAGGCCAGGGTTCTGGAGTTCAGAAAATAAGTAAGTCAGCATGAATGAGTAATGAAGCGTGCCTGGACTGCATTCAGAGGCAGACTCTAAAAGGAAGTAAAAAAGGGTCTACTTCATACTCAGAGCTCTGAATACCTTCTGCATTTATTTTACACTCACTCCTATTTCCACTTGATACCTTAGAATCAATACAAAAATACAACAGAGTATTTGAGCAGGAAAGACCATTAGAGATCATTTAAGAGTTTTTAACATGAGGTAAAGGGCTCTGTGAAATCATTGACATTAAGCCTATTTTCTGCATGTATAGCTATATGTACTTTTTTTCAGGAGGAGAAAGTCAATACTATTCCCAAAGAGTTCTGTGGATCTTACAAAAATTATAACTTTAGATTCTAGTCCAACCACCTTGTTTTACAGATGAAGAAACTGTGGCCTGGAAAAGATTTGCCCAGGGCTCACAATGAATTAGTAGCAGAGGTGAATCTAGAAACTAAGTTTCTTTTCAGTATTCTTTCCACCATGATACAATGGCTACCTCAAGAGATCCCATAGTTAAAGTCAGTGCAAGTTCTTAAAAGTCCTGATTATTACCTTTGCAGTGAAAATTCCAGCATCCATAATAGTTTTAATGTGTCTCAACCACCTGGAGCTCTCCAGGCCACTAAGAAACTCACTCATTGTTGGAGTTTTCAATTCACAAACTAAGGTAGACAGGGAAATGTTAGGGGCAGAAATAGAATATTGGGGACTAGCTACAATTATAGGAAATATTAATCATGCTCTGTTAACCATGATGGTTCTGTTCTGATTAGAAAGCACATTTTCACTTGGCTGGGAGTTGTACACCCTGGGACGTGGGAGCTAATATGAGAATGCAGTCCACCTTCCTGTTCTGAGAACTGCCTATCATTATGGAAAGATTTACAACCTTATTGCTGAGACAATCTAGTCCTGGAGGCACCTGCTCTTTACAACCCTAGCCCCTGTAATCTGTTCCTGGAACACCTGGGGGCACCCGCCCTCTGTGACTCCCTCTCTCCAGCCCACATGACTTGTAACCTGTAATGAATATTCCATGCCCACTTTCTCATACCTGTAATTCCTACTTTCCCACATAATCTTTGTCCTTCTACCCAATATAAGCAGCTGGCTTATGGTGGGGTGGAGAGCAGATTTTTGTGGATGACATGCTGCTGTTCCATAATGCCAGCATTATTGGAATAAACGCTCATATATGATTCAACTCTATCTCTGCTTAATTGGCTGAAGTAGTGACAGGCAGCCTGAATTCCTTGGTTGTCCTGTTACAGAAGCAGAAATTGAAATTCACAATAACCTCTATTTATTCACCAAGAAAGGTGAAAAAGTGGATCCTAATTTTGTAAATGAGGAAACTGAGGCACGGAAAGGTGAAATGATTAGTTAGGAACCACACAGTGAATCAGGGACAGGATTAGGGCTAGAGTCTACCATAGCTTCCAGATCCAGTCCCTTCTTTCTTGAGTTGTACAATCTACCCACAAGCCCACAAAAATCTCTAAGAGAAGAGCCAGAAGAATGAGTCAGTATCCACAGGAAAACACTCACATCTCTTATTCAAAAACACATTTATTCCTATGTCCTCACCCTGGCTCTCAGTCATCTGTTTTTTACTGTGCATGTGGCAGCATAGGAATTTCCCCTCCTCCCTCTCTGCTAATTCAGTATTTGCCCTGCAGCATCCCTGGGGAGATTTTCCTGTCCATTGTGAGAATTAGGTCTCCTAGTGGCAGTCCCCTGGAATATGTGAATGAGTTTGTTTACTCTATAGTTTCCCAGCAAACTAGATGGAATGATGCCCTGCTACCTGCTTCAGCTTCCCAGTTTATTAAGCTTACTAGAGGCCCAGTGCACGAAATTTGTGCACACGTGTGGTCCCTAGGCCTGGGCAGCGATCTAAGCATGAGCGTCTGGCGTGGAAGGGCAGGTCCCAGGTGACCTCTGGGCCCTGGGAAGCACCTGGACCCCCAGGCCCTCGCACGCCCCCCTCTGCCTGAGTCACAGCCCCTGAGTCCCCACATGGAAATGTGGTGAGCACAGCCAGGGTGCAGCATGGGCCTCTGGGCCACCCAGCAGTGCCACACAGAAGCCAGGTGGGCAGCACGCTCTCTCCCAGCTGACGTCACAGACCACAGACCAGCTCTGCACAAACCCACAGGGAGCTCGACCGGCCCCTGTGGTCCCAGCGGCTGCAGCCTGGCTCACCCAGAAGGTGCAGGGGCGCGCTTCTCGTGGGTGCCTGGCACCTGAGCGCGGGGGGGGGGGGGGGGGGGGGGC